AAATTTAGAATCTGTATACCATTGGCTATAAAAGTACGTAGGGGTTTTTAGATTAATCAATTTTTGTGGAAGTTATGCGTTTTTTAAGGAACGAATCGACTTTTTGCATGAAAAATGACCACTAAATTGTTTATAAAAAAAAAGTTTACATTCAATCAAAAAACGGCTACGTACTTCGAAGGACAATATTGTTGTGCAGCTACTGTAAAAATTTCAGTTCAATCCATGCAATAGTTACCGAGAAATCCGTCCTCCCAGTTTGAAGAAACTGGTTTCGAGAAAAACGCGTTTGAAGTTTTATGAACATTTTGATCCTTAAATTCTCTATTCACCGCTAATCTGCAATGCTTGTACTATACATTTGGCTATCCAGATCAGTGTTTGCCACCTTCTCCAGCTTTCTAGATGCTTCTGTTTGTTTTGTAGGTAACAAGTAAACTTATTATTTTAAATGATAATAATAATATGAAAGCGATGAATTGCAGCATACCGCGCGAGTACTCAGTGCGCGCTCTGAGGCGCTGCGGCAAAATTGATACTTGAACCATTTAAAATTTGTTTTTCACTATAAATCAAACGGCATTCTGTTCTTAAGACCCTAAAGTATTGTTTTAGCAAAGAAAAAAAAAATCGACTTTCTGAAAATCCTAGAGTGGTGTTACCCCTTAAATATGTTAATACTGTACATACGAAGCGCTCGAATACTTTTGTAATCCACTAACAGTGCATGTTTATAATGAACGTATTGCAATTACTGCATAAGTCGTTAAATCATTTTCAAATTTTACGTGAAAATAATGTAAATATGTAATTACATAACAGTAACGTAAATGTTGCATATATGTTAGCGTCAATGCATTTTCGAGAATCGTTGGAGTCAATCAACTGTTGGTATTTTGTCTTCGAACGATTTATGAATGGGAACGATGTTCATTATGAATTTGGGCACGGAGTGGGGAAGGCGAGGATGCAGAAAGAGCGAATGAAGTTCGGTATAATTGCTATGAATCGATCGTAAAAGAAAAGAATGATGTCGATGGTATGTTGTTGTCTTTTACGTGGAGGAAGTCGTAAATGGTTCGGTCATTGATAAAAACGAGACAATTTGAGACATCCGTCGCTTTCTTGTAAGAGAACCAAAATTAACCATTTGGTGCTTACGCCAGAATCTCATTATTATTTAGTAAAATTATTTAACATCAGAAGTGGGATACGTACGGATTTTTCATATTTCATTTAACTCAACGTTCGCGTAAAAAGTTTTAATCGGAATCAAAGATGACTGCGAAATCAGGGACAGTGGACGACCATGTTAGTGAAAAAACAAGTATTGAGTATTTGTTACAGCGAATAAAAAAACTTGAAGAAGAGCGTGTTGTGAGTGAGTTGATTATAGGCAATCGGTCTATGAATCAACTGGTAGAAGCAATACCATCATTTAGTGGTGATGAACTTGGTGAAAGTGCGGAATCATGGTGTGATACGGTTGAAAATATTACAAGGGACCTCACGATGCAGCAACGTTTGTGTTGCGCGACTCATTCACTCACGGGTTCTGCGAAGGAGTGGTATCGAACATGGATGGGAAATCCAAGAAACTGGGAGACATTTCGGGAGGATTTATGTTCTGTTTATGCGGCTGATGACCGTATCGGTCAGCTGCTTCGTCAAGCAGTGTTATATACGAATGATGACGCAATTAGTTATGCTGAGTATGCTCGTACGAAGCTTAAGTATTTACAACAAACAAAGGTTTCGTTTAAAACTGGAGAATTAGTGCGTTTAATTATCGCGGATGTAACAGATGCCACTACTCGTCAATCATTAACAAATGCTCGATATGCGAACACTGCAGAGTTGAATCGCCACGTATGTCAAACCGTGCAAGGAAAAGAAAGAAGAGGACTATCGCTGAAATCCGTTACGAGGCCTGCCTGTTCCTTCTCGACAGGGAAAACGGTGTTACACTTGCAACAGCAGCGACCATATACAAAATAATTGTCCTAAGCGACGCAAAATTAACCTAACAAACTCTCAACCATCATTCAGTCCAAGTACCTGTAGTTATTGTGCAAAACGGGGACATAACGAATCAGACTGTTGGATAAAACAACGAGCTCAGCGATATAATATAAATCAAAACTCTAACAATCATGTGCATAAAGGAAATTCTAAGTTTGAGAAAAAGAAACCTGAGGTCAATGCATGTTATTCTTTACCACACTGTTCTACGCCGATTATTTTACGGGACCTTGTTGTGCGGGAGTGTTTAATTGATTCTGGTGCAACGTGTTCTCTAGTAAAAGAAAACATTGCAAAGCGTGCAAATTGTAAAATCGAACCACAAACAGTGACAGTGAAAGGCATTGGGGCCGCCGAATTAGCTGCTATTGGCGCTACTACTACTGTGGTGCAAACTGAGGACGTAACTCTTGAAATGGACTTGCTGGTTGTACGCGATTTAGATATGTACATCTTGGCTCAAGGGGATCTTCAAATGATCACAAAAGAAGACGGAACCTCCAAGCTGCTTCGATGTTTATCACAAGTACCACAAGGAACTACGGGGGTACAACGACCATTCGCTTACATTTTTTCGGATCCTACGGGGGCGGTAGAACAACAACTGGCTGGATTGTTGAAGCAATTCGAGGACATGATCGTAAGCGATGGTGTAAGCAGAAAAAAGGTAACCACAGGCGAACTTAAAATCATTTTAAAGGAAGAAAAAATAATTAATTATCATCCATATCGACACTCGATATCGGAACGCGAAAGGATACGTTGTATAGTTAATGACTTATTAGAAAACGGTATTATTCGTGAAAGCGTTTCGCCTTATGCAAGTCCGGTAATTCTTATAATTCTTGTGAAAAAGAAAAATGGACAAGATAGAATGTGTATTGATTATCGTGCTTTGAACAGAATTACAGTAAAAGATCGATATCCGCTACCTTTGATTGATGATCAATTAGATCGGTTGGGTAAAAGCAAATATTTTATAACACTTGATATGGCTTCCGGGTTCCACCAAATTCCTGTGGCTGCAGATTCTGTTTCAAAAACCGCTTTTGTTACGCCGGATGGACATTACGAGTATCTTCGTATGCCTTTCGGTTTAGCAAATGTGCCCGCCGTCTTTCAACGCGCTATTAATACCGCGCTGGGGACTCTAAAAAATACAGTAGCGTTAGTTTATATTGATGATATTTTAATTCCATCGGTAACAAAAGAGGAAGGATTAGAAAAATTAGAGCTAGTATTGCGCGCGAATTAGAACTAGTATTGCGCGCGTTGCATAGAGCTGGATTTTCATTAAATATAAAAAAATGTAAATTTCTCCAGACTGAAATTGAATATCTGGGTAGAGTAGTGTCGAGTGAAGGAATCAAACCGGGAAAGGAAAAAATTAGGGCACTTGTAGAATCTCCAGTACTTTCAAACGTTCGACAAGTAAGGCAATTTATGGGACTAGCTGGGTATTTTCGTAAATTTGTACCAGAATTTACTGTACGAACAGCCTGTATAACTAAACTTACAAAAAATAATGTACCTTGGATTTGGGGAACAGAGCAAGATGAAGCACGGCTATATGTAATTAACAAACTTACTTCTAAGCCGTTGCTTGTGGTATTTGATCCGAATAAAGAAACAGAGTTACACACTGATGCGAGCTCAATAGGGTATGGAGCAATTTTATTTCAGAGGGATGGTGGATAACAACGGGTAGTTGCGTATTTTAGTCGGCGAACTACGGCAGAAGAATCGCGATATCATTCATATGAACTTGAAACCTTAGCAGTGGTAAATGCTTTGAAATATTTTCATGTATATCTTTTGGGAATAAAGTTCAAATTAGTAACGGATTGCAATACTTTGAAAGCTACAAATACTAAACGTGATTTACTACCGCGGATAGCAAGGTGGTGGGTTTATTTGCAAGACTTTGACTTTGTTATTGAATATCGTAAAGGAAAATGTATAGAGTATGCTGATTATTTGAGTCGAAATCCTTGCAAAGATAAAATTTGTAGTGTAAACGTTATATGTGAGGGATCATGGTTAGAGATTGCACAAAGAAATGATGATGAAACAAAATCAATAATGGAAAAGATTCGTGCCAATGATACTATCAGCAGCGATTTTGCAATAGTAGATAATTTGTTATGTCGCAAAGTGCGGAATAGCGGTGGTAAGGAATGTACTCGTTTTTATGTACCGAATGGAAGTCGCATCGGTTTATTGCGTTTATATCACGATGAGAATTGTCATGTGGGAGCAAACAAAGTTTTTGATCGTATTTCTCGAAAATATTGGTTTCCAAGAATAAGAGCGTTTATAAAAAAATATGTTGAGCATTGCCTTACCTGCACTGTCGCGAAACGTCATACGGGTCCTAAACAAGGTTTGTTACATTTGATTGAGAAGAAACCCATACCGTTTGACACCATTCATTGTGATTGTGTCGGTCCGTTTACTAAAACTAAAAATGGTTATGAGTATATTTTACTAATAGTCGATGCTTTTACCAAATATGTTCAGCTTATTCCATTAACATCTTTGACAGGACAGGAAACATTACAAGTGTTTAAAGAACACTTATCATTATTTGGTAGACCACGAACTATTGTTTTTGTTAGACATAGTCAAATTTCCGTTGTGAAGTCCTTTGTTCTCGGTTTACTGTGTATGTGTGTGTGCGTGAGCGTGAACGTGCAATTTGGCAGTTATGCGTTGCGTGCGTTGCGTTTGACGATATGCTCCTTTGTTTTTTTCTTTGTCCACGCACCAGTCTCTACACGTCTGCCGCATATTCAACACGCGAAATTGTTACTTTTCTATTAGACTTTCTAACAGGTTATGGGCCCAGGTTATGGGCCCAGGTCTTTAGACGAGAGACGAGTTAAGTTAAAGTAATAGTTGTTAAAGTGTTGAAAAGATTTCAAGATGGCGTCGTCAACGTTTAATATCAGACCACTTACAAAGGATAACTACGATAGTTGGGTAGTGCAAATGGAAGCTGTGACCGTAAAGAACGGTACCTGGAAATTTGTCAACGGTAAAATACCTAGGCCGACAATGAAAGCAGGTTTAACAGAAGAACAGCTCAAGATCGATCAGGAAAAGTGGGATGATGATGACGCAAGAGCAAGGGCAGATCTGATAATCGCAATTGATCCAAGTTTATTGCGATTAGTAAAAGGGTTGGATACAGCGGCGCAAGTTTGGTGTAGGTTGAGGTCGGAATTTGCATCGACGGGACCTGTAAAGAAGTCAGGCTTGCTGAAACGTATCTCAACGTTCAAGATGGTCGAAGGCGTCGATCTTCGCACGCAATTAATGGAATTTTTCGATGTTACAGTACAGTTGGAATCGTTGGATATTCCTATAAATCCAGAACTATTATCTTATATGCTTTTGAACAGTTTGCCGCCGAGTTTCGCTATATTGAAATGCACAATGGAATCGCGTGACACTGTGCCGAGCGCTGAAATCATAAGACAAAAAGTTCTTGAAGAACATGATTCCAGAATTCAGCAGAAGGACGATGAAAAATCCGAAGCAATGTGGGTGCAAAAAAGTCGGGAAAGATTTCAAGGGGGCCGCGGAGGTCGAAAGAAAGAAAATTCCCGTCAAATGACAGAACGCACTGGACAAGAAAATAAAACTTTTCGTTTTAAGTGTTTCAAGTGTCATTGTGTTGGGCATAAGGCTTCGGAATGTCCTTCAAAAGGTTCGCGTGAGAAT